GAATGAGATGAAGAGTGGTAGCTCGCAAAAGGGCAAAAAGCGAGCCAAAAGAAAGTCAAATATGAATTGTTGGTTTGAGTCCCTAGTTGTTCTTAGCTAAAGCAAAAGGTGTAACTTATGGTGAGATTCAAACTTAGAATCACCTTCTCTAGGACCATGTTAAGCCATCAGCTTGTCTAATACTCCCCTCTAACATTTGGCCTCTCTTAGGTGGCCCAACAAAGCGATTTTTTTATTATTTTTTGAACTCAAAATCTCTAGGCTTTGATACCAAATTGAAGCCATCTATTCTAAAAGTTTAAACTTTTAGAAATTATCTAACTTAAATATTTATATACTACAATGATTTTGTCTATGAAACCTTTTAAAAAGTTATATGTTGCAATGAGACAATTATTACTACTTGGGGAAAACTACAAGTGTTCAAAAATTATTAGGGTATAATGTAAGGCTTATAATATTTGAGGGGATGAAATCAAAATTTAAAAACTATCACAAAGCAAAGTATCATTTTCCCTTTTTAAATAGGCTAATTGGTGAGGAGAGTATTCATTTCAAATCAAATTATATATGAGAAACAGAATTATAGGATACTTAGACTTTGGTGGTGTTTGATAAAATTGAATAGTGAATTTTAAGCGTTGAATGTTGGATTTTTCAATTTAAAAATTGGTTATTATTTACTAAATTTTAAATATTAAATTGAATCAAGCTGTTTAATTAGAAGAAGGTGTTGAAATATGAAAAATTATTCTTTTTCTAATTTTATCTTGCTCGTGTACCATTCTGCTACTTCTATCTTATTCCCACCACTGTAGAATCATTGTCACCACTGCACACACCTCATCTCTATCGTTGCCACGACCCTACATGAACTCCACTAATATTCCACCACCCCCTGACATTAGCATTCCATAATGTTTTTCAGCACCACCACTCGTTAACACTAATCTGCTACCATTGCCTCCACCATCAACACCCCACCACAACTACCATATTTCATCCTGACATTGAAAAAAGTCGCCAGCATCCCTTACCCCTATCACCATTGCACCATCACTAACACCCATTTATAATCGTCACCACCACCACCATGGTGGTTATGATGGGGTTAAAGTGGCTAGGCTGATCATGGTGGTGGTAATGGGAAAATTGATGGTGAGAGTAGTGGTGACGAGGATTAGGTGGTAGTGATGGTGGTTATACAAGGTGGTGGGTTGGGGTTGAGGTGGGGGTGATAGTGATGGTTGTTGTAGGGGTGGTGGTGATGGTTATGGGGTGATTCTAGTTGTAGCAACTAGTTGGTAGTTGTGGTGAGACAGTGATGGTGGTGGTTCTAATGGTGGTGGAATAGTAATAACCATGATGAGGTATCAATTAGAGGTGATAAGAGCAATCGTGGAGGTTAGATGGTGGGATAAGGGTGGTGATTGTTGTGTTGGTTGTTATGATGGCAATGACGAGATAGTGCTGATGGTGGCAGTCATGGCTATTACTCTAGAGACAATAGGGGTGATGGGCAATTGGGGTGCAAAATGGATTGAGATCAAAATATCTGAGGGTAAATTAGTTCATCATTCAAAATTTGTAAAAATACTTATTTAGTAGCATATTTGACATTCACTGATAAGTAGGTAGCTTGCTAAGTTTAACATATTTTAAAATATAAATTTCTAAATGATATGAGTTTTAGTTATTGATGATGTGTAGACTAGAAGCGAAGCAGAACCTACCCATGTGCGTAGGTTAATAGACTTGAGTTCTTGGTGATTGATTGTGTAAAGAATGATCTAAGAATAAAGAACAAGCAAGGTTTATAGTGGTTCATTGGTATTGGCTAGTCCACTCAAATGGAGTTCTTGCTCCGGGGAGGGGACGTTATCTTATTGCTTGTGAAGAACGTGTCTGATATTGATCACCCTTTTCGGGTGAAGTTTTTTGATACTTATAAGACATTGGCAATGCCTTACCTTATTAACTAGGATCCTCCCCAGGTAATGCTAGGCTGTTAGTGTAAATCTCTCCTTTATTGTTGGGAGCATATTCCTCCTTGATTGTAGGAACCTATTTATCCATGGTCGTTGGGGTAGCATTCCTTCTTTCTTGCTGAGATAACGCGGCCTTCCTTTTTGGGAACATTTAGGGGATAAAACGATCCAGTTGGATGAACTGCGTACTCAATTGGACCTTATTCATCAAGCTCATTTATTGACCAGGAAGTCTAACTAGAAATAGAGGTCGGGCCTTCTGACTCACCGAAGGTTCTTGTGGTCCCGCACCTATTCCTTGTGGTTTGGATGTTAGCTATACCTCATACGTATTAATATAGAATCATTAGTTACGCCCAGACCCACGCTTGACCAGACCGTCTTGGTCATAGCTTAGGATTGAATTTCAAATATGGTGGATGTGGCATCTCAATCCGATGGTCTCGGACAGTTGCTCAATCATGAGGGTAGTTAATTCTTTGTTTTTTGGGACATGCTTGTTGCGTTGTGCCACATGGAAATTTGTACAGGCACATTAAATCTGTTCAAAGATATTAAATCACCAAATCTCTTCTTATTCAACCCTACCTCTGAATCAAACCCTTCAATTTACCAAATCCCTTGTCTCTTTGATTTCCCAAATCCACTAGAGTCTCAAAGCTTTTTGGTTTGCCTGTGAAGAACTGATTTAGCAAATTCGAGCTTATCCAACAGAATTCCTTGGTGATTTCATCTACTAGTGCTTAGGTCTCTGCCTTTGCTTATACGCTCGCTTAGGTAAGCATTCTTTTTCTTGCCTTTTTTCCTTTTGCATTCACTCTGGATCCCATTGGCCCTTTGTGGTGGTCCTAAGTACTCTACTTCCTAGTTCTTCATTTTTGCTACATTAGAAATTAAGTGGGTCGTTGACGGCAATTGCCCCCTTTTTAGATCCTTAGAGCACGAGTAGGATTTTCTCCTTGGGTCGTTGGTGTCTTAACCCTTGGTCAATCAAGGATTATGCCCTCCATATTTCCCAAATACCTACAGAGCTAGGTCACTTTAATTTATCACTTTCACCCATGTCTGAGGTTCCCTCCGAGGCCACTAGATCTTTTATTGCTCGTATGTTTGGGGGATACAAGCCACTCCCCAAAGGTTGGGAAACCCGTCATTGAGTCTATTCATCAAAAGGGAGTGGTGGGTGCATAGGAAATTCAGGGATCTTGTACTCATGAATCGGCATCTCCCCTTGTCCTAAAATATGTACCCAAGGGGAATTCTCTTTGTTGAGGGAAGAGGAAATGTGACCTTAGGAAGAAGCTCTACAAGGCTGGCACCTCTCTTTCTCCCGAGGTTGGTATGTCGGGGAGACCAAAAGAGCTACTAGGTCCCACTCAAAGCCTTATTGCTAACAATGTAGAGATCTGAAAAAATGAGGATAAATTGTTCAGTTTTGTCGGTAGGACACTATTCATGCACCATTTGTCGGTAGAGCATTACATATGCATCATTTAGACATAAGTCATGTTTAGGAGCATAATTTGAGTATTTCATAGAAGAGAAACATGCTTAGAATGTTAAAATACACCTACTGTGCAAATTTAAGCCTAAACAAAAATAATTTCAAAAATTAGACAAAAAGAGTATTCTGGGCAGCCTAGGTGGGACTGGCCAAACCCGGCCACTAGCGAAAATATATATTTTTAAAAAATTTTATTAAAAATAATTTTAAAAATTTTTGTTAAAATAAAATATCAAATTGAGGCGTTTCGGGACGATTTGTAGTATAACGAGATCCCAGATTCATCAAGGGCAAAAGAATCTTTTTGCACTTTTGCCCTCTACTATAAATACCGCCCTTTAGTGTAAAAATATCAGTGTTTTTTGGCTGGGAAGGGTCAGTACATGTTTTTGGAGGAAAATGGAAGAAAAATCTTAAGTTCTTCAAGCTTCAAGCCATCAAAACTCAATCATAGGCCAAGATTCTTGCAAGACTTCCTTCTAAGAAATTGTTCCTCTCAACAAGAGTTATATTCTCATCAATCGGTTCGGCTTTTAAGCTCACACAACTCCCTTGGTTTGAGAAAAACCATTTTAGGTATGATATTTTGCTAAGTTGAGAATAGATTTAAGTTTGTTTGTCTTCCTAAGTGTTGATTGAATGATTTAAGTATTTACTTGATGTTAGAAAATCATTGAATTTGTAGTTGCTTTGAAAACTTAGAATTAATGGTTTAAGTATTTTTGTGTTTTTTGAGTTTCTTGACAATTTGTTAATATGGTGAAGGTGTATATTGCTTATGTGTTGGATTATTATATTATAACTTATGTTCATGTAAAGAAACTCTTGTGGTTTGAGAGTTATGATTTATTACATGAGTTAGTAATTTGTGTATTTGTAGTTTCTTTAAAAAATTGTGAAAGTAATGAATATGAAGCTTGATCATATGTTTAAATCTATTGAATGACGCTTCACATTTATGTAGATAAGGTGTTTGATGAAATATTTCATAGAAATATGAAACTTGATCATATGTTTAATCCATTGAATGGTGCTTCACATTCATGTAGATAAGGTGTTTGATAAAATATTTCATAGAATTTACATTGAAAAAAATTATGGCATCTTGGCATACATAAATCCTTGGAACATAGTGTGGGTTGAGTACTTGGTGCTATGCATTATGAGGGTGTAGATCTTGTGGTGAAAAACTTAAAATCTAGCCAATGACAATACTCGCGGGCTGACGGGAGCGGACCGTGAAACGAGACATGGGTGACATAGAGTTGCATGGGTGTGTCATGCATATTGACATTGCATAGCATTGAGAGTTTATGGGGTTGTAACTTTTAAAAATGTACACTTGCACATACTATGCTTTAAATTTGTTCCTAGCGTTAGCAATTTGTCATACTAGCAGTTGAGCTGACCCATTCGTGGGATATCATATTACAGATGAGACTCCCGGTACTTGAGACTTGAGAAAGTCTTAGAGGAAGAAGAGGGAAGGGACTTGAATATATATTTGGTCATTGGACATATTTTGTATGTATGGGTATAAGTCCAAATGACTTTTGTTCTAGTTTGAAAAAGTAGTAGATTAAAGGTCTTGGACCATTTTAATGTGTAAGAGTGTAAACTCAATTGATATTTGAGATGTCTTTATTTAATGAATATCATATGTGTATATTGGGGCAATTAAATATATATGTTGAAAATAAGAGATGTGTGTTTAATTTACATGGGTCGTGGCCACCGAGTGAGGGAAGATTGTGATATAATTATGCATATGAAATATTGTGAATATTAGGTGGGAAAAAGACTTGAAAACAAAGGAGGTTATGTCAAAATTTTATGAAAAATTAAAAGACTTGTTAAGTGTATAAAACACTTTTTAAATAAGGTGGAAAAGATGTCAAAAGGAGTGGTTTAGAAATCTTGAAGAAATAAGTTAAAAATGGAAAACAAATAACTTGAAAAACTTTGAAAAAACATAAAAAATGAATAAGAAACCAATTTATCCAATCTAATGACCTCTTATTTACTTTTTCTTTTTTATTTTCACTCCCTCCCGAGTTTGTAAAAATTCTTGGCGTGACTAGCAAGGATACTAAAAGTTGACTCAAAGACTTTGTCAATCATTACCTATTTACTTCGATTATCATGGTTCATGTTCCCTTCAAAGTCGATCGTTTCAACGTCTACTCGACTGGGAAGACTTGCTTCTGTGAAGCCACCTTAGAATCCGGTTTAAGGTTTCCCATGCATGCCGTTTTTGAAGAGTATTCTTCAGTTCTATAATATCTATCCAGCTTGGCTCACCCCTAATTTCTGGGGACCTTAATGGGCTTTTTAGTTTTATGGAGAGAAAACGGCTCGGAGAGTTATCCTTCAATGGCCGAGCTTCTCCGCTTCTTTACAGTGAAGTGTTCTCCTTCGAACGGTTTCTTCTATATTTCCAAGCATGCTAATGCCCCTTTGTTGATCGTTGGGGTTCCCACTTCTCAAAAAACCTGGAAGGAATACTTCTTCGTTTCGGGTGGTTCTTGGCAGGTAAATTCGAATGATGCCACCGATGTCTTCCACGTCCCCGCGCTTTGGGGAATTGCAAGCAACCTGAGTGAGTACCCAAAACCCATGTATTTAGTTTTTTCCTTTCCTGTTAATAAACTACCTCTGCCTTTCTAAGGCTAGTGTAGCACTTGATAGAACTTCGTCGTAAGCCAACGCCCTCTGAGAGACTTAGAATTGACGAGATCAACTAGTGTGCTGTGAGGAATTACAAGGAGTGTATTTCTCCAGAGAAGTTGGTGGATCATGGGCTTTGTCCTTCTAATTTTGAAGAGTCTTCCTCTAGTCCATTTGGAGGTGACCTCCTTGCTACAGAGGCTCAAGACAAATCTGAAGGTAAGGGCTCAACCTTTCCCATATCTCTCCTATGAGTTTTTATTTCACGTATTGTAAGATGTCCTAGATGCACAGAAGAGGCAGATTTAGAGGAAAGGGAGCTGGTCCACACCTCATGATCTTGAGCTCCCCCTAAATACCAGGTCCAGGAAGGCTCCTAGGACCGAGGAGGTGGATTCTGCGAAGAGGGGGATGACTGAGCTTCCTTTTGGGTGTTGTAATCAAGAGCCTCCCCCTGTTACTACTTGCAATCTCCCAGCTCCAAAACTTCAAAGGATCATGAAACCCTTCCTATCTTGCCCCCTTCACTCCCTGGTATTACTTCTTCAAAAAACCAAGCCCGACTCCCCCTAGGGGTGCGGAAATGGATTCTTTTGTTGGGAACCCAACTCTAGCTGCCAAGAAAATGTTGGGCATTCTGTCTAAGTCTGACATCTCTAGGTCATCCCAACTCGGTGTTAGTGATGAGGTAACCAACGCTCTACACGGCCTTGTAGCAGTATATTTTTGCTTTCTAAGGTTCTGGATTTTTATTTTGACAAATGCTCATCTACTTCCTTTGGTGGGGTCTTGTGCAAGCTGTGGCTCACATTAGGGCTCTATTGGGCCATACCGTCCAGTCGGGCAAGGCTGCTGCTCATGTATAGAAGAGTTTGGAGGATTAGACCTCGCAGGTTGCTTCGCTGAGGTCGTTTGAAAAAAATTTGGGGGAGTAGCTAAGGCAGAAGGAAGTCGAGGTGGAAAATTTTCTTGGCGCGGTGGAGTCTGCTAAGGGCGAGAAGGAAAGGGCTAAGAAGAAAAAAGAGCAAGCCGAGCTGGTCGTGGCTGGTCGTGGCTGGGCTCAAGCTGGAGGTTGAGTCTTTAAAATCTGTTTTAAAGGCCAACGAGAATACCATAAAGGACATTCAAGCTAGGTGTGCTGATAATTACGTCGACGGTTATGAAGACATGAGGGATCAAGCTACCAAGAAGTATCCTGATATAGACTTCACTTATTTTGTACCCCCTTTATCTTCAAAACTAACTGCTGAGGTTGAGAAAGCGCCAGCAGACCATGTGGTGCTGCTTTTGGCTGCCAAGACCCCTCCTGCATCCCTTCTGAAAGGTTCATCGAGAATTTAGGCTCCAGCTAGGCCTCTTCCTGAAGCCCAGTCGAAACTTGCCGAGCTTGAAGGACCTAAGCTAGACTCTGGTGGACAGTCCGCTTTCTCCCCTTACTTATGTAACTAAAACAGTTTAAAATCCTTTCCTTTTGTTGTAACAGTTGGACTTTAAAATGAATCATCTATGATTTTCACTGCGACCTTGTGCATATATGTGTCGACTTCCCCTAGTTCTTAGTTTCCAGGCTAAAGCCTTGGGAACTTAGAATTTGCTTGGCATAAATTGACATGATTGAGTGCTTGAGGTTGAGCCCTCGAGCTTTTTTGTGTATGTGTTGTGGAGCTCGCTAATTAGTCGTAGCAGCTTCCAGTTGTCTCTTTGTTTCGAAAATCGTTTGTGTTCGTGGTCCTGCACCTATTTCCTGTGGTTTGGGTCTTAGCTATACCTCATACATATTAATTTGGTATCATCACTTATCAAACACACTCAATAAAAAAAATATAAAAAAAAAGTGTGAAATGTGTTTAGTTTAAAGTGTTGAATTGGATTTTCAATTATAAAGTTCCATTTTATAGCATTAGAACGGCAATTCAAAAAATTAATAAGATCGTAGAAGTCATATTTGTTTCAAAAATATTTAAGAACCAACAGATAATTAGAAATCAAACTCCTTCATACACAATACTGTTCTTGTAGTTATCCAACACCAAAAGCCATTGTGTAAACTAGAGGCTCAGAACTTCAAAACCGAGGGATTAACCCTTCATAAACAATAACAGCCAGCGATCTATATAGCCTTTAGACTAATTCCATGGGTCATAATCTCATCTCGAGTTATATTTGTGTCATAGCAATGATATAAAAGTGTCAAGTGAATCATATTAAAATTTCAAATATGACACATCTAATAAGCATATTACTTTGAACACAACATCGCTAACAAGTGGTATTAAACTATCTAATCGAAACCCGTTAATTTTATGTCAGAACGTTAACACTCTTAATTGTTATCCCCATTTGAGGATATCAGGCACTTCTAATTTCAACCCTACTTGAAGACAAACCAATTTCAAGGGATAACCTACCTGCTCTCCTTCACTCTACTGTGTCACTGTAACCTTCTCCCATGTGATTGCATTATCTTCACTATTCAAGGGGTCCACAAGCATTGAATAACTCCAATGAGTAGGTAACACTGGAACAAGAAGGTTGCTGGAAAAGCACCGGTGAATAATGAGATGAGGCAACTTGATAGAGTACCACGGGAAGGTACATAGGACCATGCTAACATTTTTTTTAACCTTCACAAAGGAGTCGAGTGTTTGGGAAACCCCACTTCAAATGTCCGGACTCAATTGAATGCAACAAGAACCCAATTTGAGAAGCTTGAAAATGCACTAACCATAAAAACTTCATTTGGCAACTCAACCTCTAACATTGGCATTAGCTATGTGATTATAAATTGGAATTTTAGTATTGACATGATTATTCCTAATATTTCACAGTTATACCAACAAAATTTTGTTAGGGTGTTAATCTCTATCAAAGGCAAGAATTGATCTCTTATGAGTCCCACTTTTTAAAAGTTGTATTATTCTCTTTTTAAGGGATTCTACTCTACTCTTGTGAACATTCAAACTTTATTGTACTAGTGATATATGAGATTTGTAATAGTGATCAATCTTTACATATAAAAAACAATAAGATCTTTTTGACATTGAAAAGCTTAATGTCACCAGAATACTTCTTCCAATACCAATGTCACTCCCTTTGCTTGTTTATTTTTTAACAGAATTGTGAAGGATAAATAAGTTCAATTTCAAAGAGCAAATAAGTCATTTTACGATAAAGACTTCACTCAAAGTATCCGTATCAATTTTGGAATGCCAATGAATAATACTTCTTCCAATACCAATGTCACTCCCTTTGCTTGTTTATTTTTTAACAGAATTGTGAAGGGTAAATAAGTTCAATTTCAAAGAGCAAAGAAGTCATTTTACGATAAAGACTTCACTCAAAGTATCCGTATCAATTTTGGAATGCCAATGAATGACTAGATGAAAGCACATTGGGGTGTGGTTGTGATTTACCCCCTAAATTAAAAATGAGTAATATGCTACCATTAGAATAGGGATGTATAGGTCGCTTATTGCTCTTTGGTAGGCCTATTTATTTTTGATTTAACGGTCAAAAGTGTGTGGGTCAACTTAAGTACATCTTGATTAATTTTTTTTTTCAATCCGACCAAAAGTAGGTCATCTACTACGAAACTAACGTTTTTATAAAAGATAAATTCTTCATAACTTGATCCTAAAAAATTCTCAAATTTTAAATTAAATTTATCAGTCGCCGTTGTTATCACTTTAACTATTATAGACTTTTGTACTTGCTCTTGGTAATGCCTCTAGAACCACCAATTCAAACGGCAAGAATTTCATTTTATTTGTTAATGATTTCAAAATTATCACGAATGAGAATTTCTACTAAGAATGTGGCCTAAATTGAGAATGTGTAGTGGTGTTCACTGGTCACAAAAATATGTGGTCTGTAATTGAATTGTAGCCCACAACTCTTAGCGATAATGACAATGACAACTTGACAAAAACTTTTTCAACACTTGACAGGACCATTCCTCTTTGGCCTCATCTTCCACAACCGGTCCTCCAACACCCACCCCCTCCGGCCTTTCTTTCTTTCTTTCTTTCACGAGCCACAACACATTCGAGTTTGATTATTCAAAGCCAACGATTTGAAATAGTGGAAAATAGATCTACACATTTCAGCGAGTGGGTCTAGGAACGATGTCTACTGTTTTTACGAGTCTTTTGGAGACCGGCCTCTTTTTAAAGACTTAATTGAACTTAAATCTAGTCAAAAAAAATTAGGAATAAGTTTATTCTTATATCCATTGTCTAAAATATCTTTAATAATTATATTTAATCAAAGTTTATTTGAAAAAACTAGCAGCTCCTAAATTAAAAATTGTATTAATATTACCGACTCTTAACTTGAAAATTGTGCTAGCATTAAAATTATATATATTATATAATAACATTAAACAGTAACATTTTCAACAAAAAAAAATAATAAAATCAAACAATAACATGCTCAATAAAAAACTTAATTAAAAATATAATTATTATAATAGAGTGACATCATACAGTAAGTACTTATTTTGTTGTGGGCAAAACAACAATTTTTAGTACTCACATATGATGTCACTCTAAAGCAAAGATTGAATTTTTAATTGAACACGTTAAATTAAATTAAATTTTTAAATTTTTTTTTGTTAATCATGTTACTATTTGATGTTATTATTTTTTTTTTAAACATGTTACTGTTTATTATTATTATGCTAAAAAAATAATTTTGATACTAACATAATTCCCAATTTAGGAGTTGTAATATTTAAAAACATTAAAACTAATCATGATAGACAATATTTATGGTAAAGGTAAAAAAAAATACAAAAAAAAAAATTTTAAATGTGTATTTAGTAATAATAATAATAATTTGATAACAAAAAGAATTTAATAGAGTATAAATCCAACTGTGATATTTAATCCCAAATAAGTTCTAAAAAATATTCCCACGACTAAATATCTGATTTTTTACTTGTTTGTGGGCTCACTAGCTCAAATTTTTTTTATAGATAGAACTATTCTGAAACTTACACTTAAAAGTGTAAGCGACAAAGGATCTTATACACACACACATACACCCCAAGACTATCCGACGTGGAATAGTCCAGCCGTGGGGTCTAAAGCCCAACTTTAGGATTAGACTGTCAACCTAATGACGTGATATGCTTTCATGCCGTATTATTTTGAATGTATATCATATTACAGCCAGATATATAATTCATAAACTCAAACTCTATAATATATATATTTCCTTTTTCAAGAAAATTTGATAAAAATATATATATAACTTCAACATCTAATTCATTATCATTCTAAAATACCAGTTAAATGATCTGTCATGTTATTCATATAGTTAGATTTTATTTCATTTTAATTCATTTTTTGAGTTCATATCTGTGTTGATATTTATGGTGTCAAAACATTCCAATCTACCAAAGTACTAAAACGTCAGTGTGCCAAATAAATGAATCGTGGCATTACTTACATTCAATGGGTCATTTATCCATCCTATTTGACAACTGGCCATAATGTATGTCTTTGTTGTTCCAAAATTATGAATTATCCTTTTATAATCCAAAAACTTATGATCAATCAACAACAATAAAATCTCTCCTTTGTGGGACCCAATTGTTCCATAACCCAAACCAAAGAGAATCCTCAATCTTCGGGATAAGGCCAGAACTTTCAAGAAATACCAACAATGTCAAATTCACAAAATACTCCAAACATTTTCTATTTTCAAGTTGAATTGATGGTTCCTTTGGGTATCCATTTTGTTGGAAGAAGGAGTACATAGAAAGCCAGTTCACATAAAGAGGTCTACAATTATGCTTTGTTTTACGGCGCGTGTTTGTTTTGTATGTGTGCGTGTGTTTTAGTTTTTCTTTTTGTTTATTATAATCTAAGTTCTATAATAAATCTTTTTTTTTTTTTTTTTTTTAGATTAGAGAGATTTTATCTAAGTTGGGGGAATTTAAATTGGTGTATCTTTTAAGTGGTTGTTGCCTGGCAAGAAGGAAATGTAACATGGTTTATCCACCTGTCTATTTCTTGGTTTATTTTTCCTCTTGTTGTCATGTCCATTAGACTTTTCTTGTCCCAATAATGTTGTCTGTGAAGTGTACTTAGGTTCAATACAAAGCTTCCACGAGGCCTCCTCTAACTCCTCCAACACCTATGTGCCACGTGGATGAAAATTGCAAGTGGGACCCAGCCCTTTCACTTATCCAATTCCTTACATTTTGGACATGGCATGAGTCACACTATCTTCCACAAATCCATGATTAGGACTGCTCATCTCTGAAGAAATGTATGTCCTCAATCTTTATCCTCCCCTAATTTTTAATGGTTTTCTATATGTTTTTATTAGTCCTT